CTCCTACAACATCAGAGTGCAGCGCCACATTAAATACGGACTACAATGACAATAGTTTAAATCGATTTGAAGCATGTTTTATTTTTTGGGGGGGAGGGGCAGAGCTTTGTGACGTCATATTGTGACGCCGTGTGACAAGGGGGGGGGGTCAAAAATCGTCCATAATCGCGTGACGTCATTTATGGACGTCATAAACCCATTTCGGTGTTTATATTAGTCTGGCTGCATGACGCTGATCAGACACCGCCGAGTCGTACGAATCCTCTTGGCTGGCTCCCTAATCTCTTTATTATCAACAATCCACGCGACAATCCCAGTACGAGTTCGGGGGCCCCGCCACATCGTGGGCGTTTCCTCCTGAAGCTCGAATGCTTGCCGGCGATAATAATTTTAATAATAATTTGAACAATAATTTGTATTATCATCGCTGAGATCACGGGGAGGCTCGTGCGCGTGCACGAACACGCCACGCGGGAGGGGGCGAAGCCTCGACACGCACGGTCACGTGACGCCACCCTCCCAGGTGCAAACCAATTTGCGTTTGAACAAAACAGAAGCTTTTGTTCAATGTGTGTGTGTGTTCAATAGGTGTGTGCGTGTGTTTACCGTGTGTGTGTTTACCATGTGTGTGTGTTTACCATGTGTGTGTGTTTACCATGTGTGTGCGTGTGTTTACCATGTGTGTGCTTGTTTTACCGTGTGTGTGTGTTTACCGTGTGTGTATGTATATGCTGACCATGGGCGCAATACGTAGTATGGGTGTCTCCTGCGTACAATAACTCAACATGATAAACTTATCGGGGCACAAACGGCACGGCGACCTGCTGCGGTGTGCTTCGCCTCTGTAGCCCGCGGACAATCTTCGCAATGTTGCGGTACAGTAACATTGCCATGGCGAGGTTCTGTGCAGTGTCTGGCACATCGCTTCTAGTGTAAGACTTTCACAGCCGATACGACGATTCGTATTTGTGTGGGTTTTTTTTGTGGGGGGGTTAGGCCACGTGATTACTTTGATTGCCCTGCCCCCCACCGCCACCATCCGACAAGATTGTAAGGGTGACAATCTCGTCTCGGGCGGTCGAGGGTTCATGACTAGAATGATTGAATCAAACGAACATTGATGGTTGTCTGGCTAATTTGTTGCCTCACCATCGTCTTGGGATAAATGTACTGTGCAGGAAACAGTATCGAGAGTTTTTTTTTAAATGCTGGGGTGTTCAATGCGCTCTGCTACGATCCAGGTGACCTGGATTTCAGCGTGGTCCAGATGTCTTGTGACCAGCAATTAATTGACCCCTCAAATGTTCCCTTTGCATATTCATTCCTGTTTTAAATAAACCTTTAAAATGACTAAGTTTTAGAAAATTAAATGGGGGGGAACACAAGACATATGGACCACCCTATGTAGAATTTAGCATTTAAGAGTTGGCTCGGCCCTAAATGAGCAGTGATGTGAATGTCTGGACACTAGGGATACATTGTGGACCTGCTACAGTGCTGTGTGAATGCCTGGGCACTAGAGAGACATTGTGGGCCTGCTACAGTGCTGTGTGAATGCCTGGGGACTAGGGAGACATTGTGGGCCTGCTACAGTGCTGTGTGAATGCCTGGACACTAGGGAGACATTGTGGGCCTGCTACAGTGCTGTGTGAATGCCTGGGGACTAGGGAGACATTGTGGGCCTGCTACAGTGCTGTGTGAATGCTTGGGGACTAGGGAGACATTGTGGGCCTGCTACAGTGCTGTGTGAATGACTGGGCATTAGGGAGACATTGTGGGCCTGATCCAGTACTGTGTGAATGCCTGGGCACTAGGGATACATTGTGGGCCTGCTACAGTGCTGTGTGAATGCCTGGACACTAGGGAGACATTGTGGGCATGCTACAGTGCTGTGTGAATGCCTGGGGACTAGGGAGACATTGTGGGCCTGCTACAGTGCTGTGTGAATGCCTGGGGACTAGGGAGATATTGTGGGCCTGCTACAGTGCTGCCTGGTAACCGCCCATGTGCACCTCACCCGCCTCCATGGATGACACGGGAGATCTGGACACATCCTAATTAATGGGCTTCTCGAGCAGGCGACGATGCTTCATCATGCAGGCCACACATCGAGCCACTGCATGCCCGAGCAGCCTTTGTTTGGCGGGGATAGATGAGGGAAATAAATGGATGTGGCATGTTCTCGAGAAAAGATGGGCTGATGCGGTACAGAAGGATGAACCGATGACCTGGAACCAGCGGTCTCAAGATCGGCCTCTGTGGAGCAGAGGCTTTGTGAAGGACGCCACTGGGCAGTTGGAGACAGCGGAGCGACGCTCACAACAATGAGCAGAGCCCTGCATGTCGGATGGCTAAAACACAGCGAGTTGGCACCGTCGGGAGTGTGTGCGCAGATAAACATCAGCGATGTTTAGCTGCGCGCACACTCCCGACTCCTGCGTCTGCCAGCGAACTTTCGCTTCTCAATTTATGGCACAGCTTGGCACAACGCGGAATGCTGTGAATGCCACCGCGGTTTGCAGTGAATAGCGGCTGGTTGGCGTTACGCACGCGGCATGTGACCCATCATAGCGGTACGGCTCCGTTTGTCGACTCCTCTGCTGAACGAGGCCGAGCCCCACACCGCGTCTTGCGGCTGACTCCGCGATCCGGGCCAGGCGCGGTCTCCGTCCATCCCCCGCCTTGGCGTGGTGGCCCGAGTAGGGCCGGGCCCTTGGCACCCCCAACACCCCCACCGGCCCATGGGGTGCGACAAGATTCGCTCTTTGACGCCACCGGCTTGAAAACTCGACGCGGTCTCCACGATGGCACGCGGCTGACACCCGAGGGCACTCGTCTGGTCCGGACGCAACTGTCTCACCCCGTCGACTTTTGGCGATTCTGATGGTGGTACCGTGCAGGCCGTGGGGGGGGGGGGGGGGGGGGGGGGGGAATTACTTCACCATATTTCACCACGCTGGTCAACGGGGGTTGGTGAAGGCTGGGGGAACATAGTTCCAGACAACGTAGCCCGCAGCAGCCCATAGTATGGCTCTGCCGAGCTTTCGAGATCGGACGCATTCTGGCTCATGCGAGAGAGTGCACTGGAAGTGAGTGAGTGCACTCACTGTGAGGCGTAGAGGCCCATTGATAATTATAAAACAAACCATCTTTATGCAGTGTTGGCGCAGATGTTTTAATTGATGCAGTTGGCAGCAGTTTGTGAATGAATCACTCTCGTCGCGTGCAATTGTGAGAGGGACGCTGTCGTGATGTCAATGGTCAGGGCACTCGACTTTAAATGCAGAGGTCGACGGTTCGATTTGATCTCCCGGTACAGCAGTTGTAAAAAAAGTATGCAAATTACGTCACATTCGTAATCAGAATCATCCTAAAAGAAATCCGATGAGCTATGAAGCTCGGATATCCAGTCGGGGTGGGGCAGTTCCTGAAATCTTCCCCACCGCCACTGTTCACCGCACGGCAGGTCGCGTGCTGTGGTGGGGTTAAGTATGGGTACTCTCCCACCTCTTCCACGACGTCTGGCCAGTGTGGAAGAGTAGGCCAAAAACACCCTCCAGAGGGGTTCTCTAGAGCTCCCTCTAGCGGAGGCCCCTGCTGTGAAAAAGACCTTCATAGCTCGTAGGATACCTCCGGTATAAATACATATTCTTCCGACCATAAGTGGCGTGACCAAGAAGTTACAGGGCTGCACTTGTACCCACAATTGCGACGGTTGTTCACAAACCAGACGGTGCAGTGTTTTCAGAGTCTGCATTGATAGATGGTGAACGCGAATAGACCACAACATATGTAGATTACAAGTGTTTTTTTTGTTGATTAATGGGCATCGTCCCTTCCGAGATCTGGCGAGATGGGACACATTCCAGTTGCTTTGGTCATAGGCTATATAATTATTTTAATGATGCTTAAGCCATCGCTTAGCTAGCAGACCTCTACATTTATCTCCTGAACACATTGCCATCATGCGAAAGAAAAATGCAATTATATTCGCTATAGAGGAAAATTGTGTAAAATAAGATTTAATCAAATTGTTTGCAAATTAGACACTCATGCTGCATCTAAGGTAATCGAGAAAACAAAACTACACAAACTGAAAAAAATATATAAACGAGACAGCAAGAAACTAAACATTTTTTAAACTAAAATTTCGACCATAAATCGTAATATTTCCTGGGCGTTGGACCGAATCTTCACATTCCGAGTGTAATAATAACCCCTATACAGGAACACCCGTGGCGTCAGTTTGACATATTCCAGCTGGTCCGCCCACGGTCCCTCTCGGGTTTAACCAGACCAGACTTCGCGAGACCTCTTAGAGCACTTGTTTCTCATACTTTTCTTGGCCCGTGGACCACTCCGCCGATAGAAAACATTTCCGCGTACTACCCGACCTGTATACCAGGCGAAGTAGTTCACATCTCGCCACCACGGCGCCTCTACTGCTGCGCACAGCACAGTAGTCCCCATTAGAGAGCGTTTGTCGACAAGGGTTCCATCCATCACCTGCCATCGAGCCTTCCACACTAAAACCTGTGCCAAGCTAGGTGCACGTTACGTACCGAGTGCTCTTGTGCTTGGCGCAAGCTAGGTGGCGAACGGCGGCTGTCGATGTTGACGATGGCGACGTGCGTTATAATAACAGAAGAATCGATGGTCACACGTGAATTTCACACCAATTTTTTTTATTTATTTCCATTTATGTCAAGTTATTTCACCTGAAACACCATGAAAAGGCAGCTTTTGAGAAGTCCTAGTGAGGGTTGTAGAATCACCTCCGTATGTATTCACTTGTACAGTACGTATGTGCCAAGGAATGGGATGCGTCTGTGGGAATGTCAATAGAGGTGATGCATCAGTGGCAATGTCAGTGTGTGTACGCACGTGTTGGTACATACGTGTGTATGTGTTGGTAGGTCTTGGTCCCTGTGTTGGTGTGTATACAATGTTTTATCTATATGTTGGTGTGTGCATCTAGATTTGTGTGCGTATGCATTTCAGTCTGTGTTTATGTGTTGGTGCGTATGCGTGTCGGTGTGTACGTGCGTTGGTGTGCGTACGTTTACATTTCTATACGTCAGTGTGTACATGTGTATCCATACGGGTGTGTTTCTCCGCACATGAGAGTTGCCGTGCATGTGGGTTACTGTGTATGTTGGTGTGATAATGAGGGAATGTGTGTGTGTCTTTGTTTTTTTTGTCAGTGTTGGTATATGTATGTTGTAGTGTGGTGTGCATGAGCGTGCAATTCCATGTCACCCCGACTTGTCATCACTTTTTCTTTGACATGAACACCACAAACTCTGCAAATGGAAACACAAGCATTTACAAACATTACAAGGAAACCATTAATTATTTAGCAAATACCCACCCATTTGTGAGTTGCTTACATGGCTATACGCTGAAGGACATGCCCCACATTCATTCCTTGAAACGATTACCTTAACCCATTACGAAGTAGCTGCGGGTTGGCATGTTGAACGCCACGAGGCAAATGTGAATCACAAGAGTAAAAAAACACACACTTGACACCAATGTGAGATGTACATTGTTAGGTAATAGAGTACACCAGCCAATTACACTGGCTCTGGCCCCAAATCTAACCAGACTGTGCAGGACCTCCTGCCTCCAGCCATGCACTCTGCCATATCTCCCATTTCCTTTCCCCGTCTGCCACCGAGCCCCTCATCCGTGTCTCCATCACACCGTTGCCTTGCCTGCTCAAAATCCCTCTCTGTAAAGACTTTCAAAAATCCATCCCCTCCAAACTCCAAATAATCTGGAATTAAACCACTTCGACTTCTGCACCTACACCCGTAAAACAAAACCACATCAAAGTAAATTTTGATTTAAAGCTTTCGTGACTGCAGGGATTCATATTCTTGGTTCTTTCGGTAAAGTTACGTAGTAGGGAAACAATAAAATAATAAAAATATAAAAAATAAAATTCTCACGACGTTTCGACTGCAACACAAGCAATCATCATGAGGTGATTGCTTGTGTTGCACGTGATGATAATTGCTTGTGTTACAGTCGAAACGTCGTGAGAATTTAATTTTTTAATATTTTATTGTTTCCCTTCTACGTAACTTTACCGAAAGAACCAAGAATACACATCAAAGCACCCCGATCCGTCCCACGGACTCTCAAATCCAGTCCCAAACCATTTACGAGATCACCCCTCATTGTCTTCAACATCCTCCATGGACTCGACCCCTGCTAACTTCTCCCCCCTCCCCCATCTCACTCTTTTCCTCCTCAATGTCCTCTGCTCCAGCAATAACATTTTTTTGTGAAACGCTCGAATCACGCCTCTGCTGCCGCCATCGAGGGCTGAACGTTCCTCCCCCCAGCCGTCTATAATGTCGGCTCCCAGCCTCTGTTCAAGACCCCTTCCTCTTCTCCTCTGCCTATGACTGCCCCCCCCCCCCACCCCATCTATACAGAGATCTCAAATTGTGTCTTTAAATTAACAAAAAATGTCACATCTGTGACCCTGCCATTATTTGATATTATAACATATTAGACACGAGCCATGAACTAAACTATTTTTTTTTATTTTACCAGGTAAGGCCCAGTCAGCTATATAGCTCGTTTGTAGCCAAATACACTCAACGCGTGTTTCTACATGTGCGGGGAAAAACTGGTAGGACTCGGAGAAAAAATACGCACGACCACAGGGAGACAGATATATAACCACACTGGGCATTTAAATGCTGGCCCTAGCATTTTTGTCTTCCACTCTCACCAAAATATACACCAACCCAACACAAACTCTAAAAAGTCGAGATAAACGTGTGTAGGCCTAGGCTTAAAAACTAAAACATGGTCACAAATGCTTCCCCCACCCCGCCGCCCGCTAACGTTACGATGGCCTCAAAACTCAAAATTGTTGTCATTATTACCGTAGCATAGCCTCGACTACAGGCATGCGCCAAAAATGTAGCCGTCCAGAAATTACTTCCAGAACAACTTGTAAAAGTTTACATCATTCCAGTCTGTCCACCTGCATAGAGTATCGCCAGACAACATCGCCCGCCACGGTAGCCTCACCCTTGTAGGAGATCTGGTCATCCTTTCCCCGGTCGTTTTGAAGGAAGAAATCGTCCACGGAGTTCTCGGGAAGCCCCAAGCTCTTGAGTCCCTCCTGCACCTCCTGCTTGCTCAAGTACCCAGATTCATCCTGGAAATGGGCGACATAGCCGTTGACCAACCATGCGAATCGGAGGTGGGGGGGGAGCAACAAACTAAAAGCACAAAAAACAAAGTTGACAAGAATAATTCTCAAATTGAGCAAGTTTATACGATCTGGAGATAGAAAATGGCAGGGAATTCCACATTCAAGTCATGCGAAGGGAAGAAGCAGAAGCATGCATTGAGATTATTTAGATAATTTTGATGCTATAAATGTCCAAATGATGGGGCACTTTGTTGAGCTATCATTTGTGGCCAGGTCGCTTCTGAAAAAGTGGGCTTTGCCTGGTAGGATGGGGATGGTTTCGTTTTATTTGTTTGTGTTTAGGTGATGTGTTTACCTTTCTTGTACTTTGCACTACCATGTTTTTGTAACGTTCTTACCCGCCCCTATTGGACATCTGCGACAAAGAGCTTGATAGCTCATCGGATTCCTCCAGTATGAATAAATAAATACGAGTCTGAGAAAGCGAAGGGCTTTAATTCAACCAGCGTGATGGTTGAACCCGGTGTGGATGAGATGAAATGGCGAGCCTGGTAGACGGAGCCCTCTAAATGAGTGGAGGAATCAAGGGGTGAAGTTAATGGGAATTGTAACAACCATTGTAGTGGCGATAGCAGATTGACAAGGAGATGACTGACCGACAGTTGAGGGAGCGAAAAGTTAATCTGCGAGTTCCGGATAATCGATTACCCTGAGTGGTTAAAGTGAATCGTTTTTTTAAAGACCACTCACTGAGGCGGGGGGGGGGGCACTGGATGATCGACTTCACCTCCATCCTCACGACAAATCCCCGTGGACAGGGGGAAGGAGCCAATTGATCACATACGTAGTGCATTAAACACGTAACCAACTTTAGATGACAATTATTACTCGTATTTGCCCTTGGTTAATTCACTGCTAGACAAAGGCCTCCCCCATGCCGCATCGCTCAATAGGGACCGTTTGCCCACACTGCACCACGCTGGTCAGTCAGCGAGGGTTCGTGAAGAGCACGATCTATAGATTGCTCAAGTTAAAAGACTGGGTAATAATACCCCTGGGCAGCAGCATGGGGGACTGATTTTGAATCAACATCGGGTTTTAAAACCCAGTCCACCTTGTGTCCTATCCCCACGGTTATCACGTCTGCAGGCGGATGCTGCTGCTGCCTCCTGCTGCTTTATTCCTGCCCAACATCTGCAATGTCACTCGAGCCCCCGATCCCACCACCCCATTTACCTACACCCCCACAGTGACGTAAGCAAAGAATTGCGTGGCTGCACCTAGACCTTTTTTTGAGCGTGTAAAATTACGGACCACGCCCATAAGTTAATCGGTTCAAAATAACTGCTGCAGCTTTAGGCCAGTTTTGTTTTTCTAGTTTCAGAAAGCCGGGCCGAACACCAGTCGGTTCAGTGCTCCCGGATTTCAGCTGCTCGCCACTAAGCTGAGTTATTGCATGTGAAGCAAGTTGATGGTTGTAGCGCCATCACGAACGACTGCACTAAAACAAAAACTAAAAATCTACATTTGAATTCGCTTGTTCTACGTTTCTCATCTTTATAAATGCCAGCTGACAACTATATAAATTATGATCGTACTGCCATGTGACAAACATTTCTCTGTCGCAGGGCATAAGGGGCATTGTATTCCCTGAGTGCGTGCCTAAAAAAATGGCACTGCAAGGGATATTTAAAAAGCTGTTCTATGACATTTCCTTCTACGGGCCATTCTCCAGCACATGGGGCGTCACCACTCTGCCACCAGAGTTCGAAATGGACATTTAATTATAGGACACAATGCCAATATATAAATGGAAATAAAATTTGTAAAGACGCAATTTTTTTTTATTTGCAAGGGTTATCTATGCCACCCCATCTCGCATGCCATATGCCAAGTAAGTGTTGGGCGACACTAATTCCACCTCTTGGTCGATGACCGATCAGGTCATGGAAATTCCACTTTAATGTGCCAGAGCTCTGTTTGGTCTTAAGATGTCGAGCAGCACTGTCGTGCACGCTTCACCGACCACTTTAGGATGACGACGACGACGACCATGACGATGATCGTGGTGCATTTAGTTGGAGGATGACAACATCCTTACCTTGTCTAAGCTCCGGAATTTGTCCCCCAATTCCTTCATCTGTTTTGCAAGTGGAGACGGCTTCGGGTGAGACTGAGAGGTGGGAGAGACATGGAGGAGAATCGTAAATCATTTGTTCACTTACATTCGGTTGCTCTGTTTAGCCAGGTGAGATGAAGCTCATCTCTAGTCGCAAGGGAGGCATGGCTCACCATCATATTAAACGGATAGCCTTCGATTATTATTCCTTCGTGACCGTTTTATGAATGGTCTTTGGGATTCTAACAATTATTTTCCAGAAAAAATTCACTGCTAGATCGCAAGACGACTGTAGTCGCTTTTTTGTGATGTATGTCAGTAAACGGGCATCATTGTATGGTTTTCTAGAGTAGCATATCGGAACAAATAATAAACTTATACGATACGAAACATCTATAGAGTATGAAAATAGATAGGCGGAATCCATAAAACAGCTGGTATAAACGAGAGGCATTTCCACCCGCGGTTGACTCTGCCTATGGTGGATACGAGTAACATTTGCCACCCAACGTGGTGCCGAGCAACTCGCTTGGCTCCATGCGGGCTCGATGGGTCGTCTCGCGTCAGGCGGTGGGTGGGTGGTGGGCGCGGCTCCGTGCCAGTTCGCACATTCCACATGAGTCAGACATCATGGATAAACAAAAGCGTTCACCGCAAATGAATAAATAAATTGTTTTAATACTGTACGCAGCGAGCCACTGGATTTGTATTGCATCCACACAATGTGGAATCCACTGGTACATTCAAAACATAATATAGCCAAACATCTAATATCAGACCGTCATATATCCGCCTTAACCATTCGTGTCCACACCCAGTGCAAAAAAATGTGCACGGTGGTGTAACTGTCATTTTCTACAGATGTTCACTTATCCGACCTTTTTCACATATCCGCCAACGCCTCAAGTTCCCAGTGAATCGGATATATGCAATGGATTTTTTTTTATAACAGCTTACCACCTTAACCACCTCGACACCCCGCACACCATTCGACCACCACTGTTGAAAAGGACGTGAAATTTAAACTGGCGTTTGAAATGATTAACGCAGGGAAAGCCTCACTCAGCCTCAAAGCCTCGCCGAGTCTCAAGACGAGGTCAGGGGGTGCTTGCATTGGGATGTTTGGCCAGTGGCGTTAACGAGTGTTTGACGTGTGGGAGTTAACCGGAAAACTCACAGAAAACCCACCCAATGCAAACGAGTGGATTAAACTTGAGATTAGTTCAGTTCAGACCAAGTAAATGTAATATGTGTGTGGACTATATATGTAAGCAAACGATACGTCCCCTTCATATCGGTTTGTCCAGGTAATAACAACATCCCATTGGCCTGCGAAATCATAGCTTTAGCAGCATCGATTCAGTACAAACTCTGAACCGGTTTCCTACTTAAGAGTGTTTCATCAGCAGAAGTCAGACTTTGCTTGATGCAATGCTGGTGAACTGCCAGACGTAATTGGCAAGATTGGCAAGATGCTAGAATTTCGATGATCTCGGCCAAGCGCAACAGCCAAAACCCAAAAACCCACATCCGACTGCCACAAACCACAACCGCGTTAAACCTACGCAATCGCATGTACACACACACGCGCGCGCCTTCCCGAAATTACATGCCATTGAAAATGTGCTGTTAACGATATCATCAACATCATGTCACGTGCTACACGCCAGAAACTCGGTTAGATAAACACATCTTGGCAGATCAATGTTGGGCAACGTGTTCCATATATATAAAAAAATATTTAAAACATTTGCGTTACATGTCCAGGACAATGAGTTACGCTCCTGGTTGATACATACAGGATATATACGCATGTGTGTTGAACTTCTTTCGCACCGTACGTAGCAAACCGTGCTAATCGGGCGGAGGTGTGTAATACACATTTACACAGGATACAATTATCGTGCGAAAGGAGTGATCGTGGGAGGGCAATGTGGAACTGAGCGCAGGAATTTGGCTGTTGTTATTGTTGTCGTGTGTGTGCGGTGCAAAAGCAACGATTTGATCTCTCACCATGGTGGACTTGGGTGTGCAGAGCTGGCGACGAAGGGAAGATGAGGCGGAGTTCGGCAGACTTCACTCGGTGCTTTGGACGATGAGCGTGGGCGGATATCCAGCAGGAATTTATAGCGGAGTCTGGGTGTGGCCCTGAGCGCGTGTACGGGGCGTGGGCGAGGTGCCGGTGGCGCTTCCGTGTACTGTGGTTAGGGGAGGGCAGAGCAGCGACGCTCACAACAACGAGCGGAGTGCCTGGCGGATAAAATTGACCAAGTTGGCACAGTAGGGGGCACAGCTGGTGCATCTGCCGGTCATCTCAGTCAACCCCACGGCACCTGGGTCTGTCCCGTGACCTCCTGCCAGCAGTGAGCCTTCGACACTTCACGTGGCATGGAGATGCACGTGGCCTGGCACAGGTTCCGTGCTGACGTCCCCGCCACTTAAGTGTCGACTGGCCGTTGTGGTTGCGTATGGCTGGGGAACGATCGTGCGTGGTTAGAGCGCTGCGCTACGAACCCGGCGATCCGCTCACGGCCAACACCAGCGAGGATTTTTGATCTGGTCCTGAGCCTCCCCTAAGTCTACTCAGCCTCAAACGAGTACCTGTTGAGCTTGTGTCAACGTCTCCACTGGGGAGAAAGAGGCGGTCGGGCGTGGCTACTGGTCACCCACCCGTTCATAGGTGCGTCACAACTAATCGGATGAATAATGATTCTCATTCTACTACAAGCGCTTGTCCAAAACGTTTGTTCAGGCTATACGGTGGTGGTGGTGGTGGGGGGGATAGTTTGTCTTGTGTGTGTGGAAAACGCCCATTGTTCTGTGTGTGTAAGGGCGTGGATCACAGGGCAGTGCATCTGTCAGGCACCTGTCAACCCAAGGCACCTGGGTCTTCGCGTGATGAGAGCCTCAGAGCGCTCCGAGCGTGACACGGGCGCGGGACGACGTCACCGCCGCCGGGTTGCGGAAACGACTGCAAGTTGGTGCCCTCTGGAAGGACGATTTAGGGAGCGGTGGCGCAGTAGGTCAGTGCGCTGCCGCTGCAAATCCCCGGCCGCCCGAGTTCGATTCCCGCTCACGGCCAACGCGAGCGACGATGGGCAGAACCGGTCCTGCGCCCCCTCGATGTCTCAAATGAGTAGTGTGGTGGTTAGCGCACCGAGTTTACCAACTCGGCGAAGCGCGTTCGACTCCCGTTCACGGCTAACATCGGGCCCGGATCTGGGCCTTAAAATGTTTGCAAACATCAGCCCGGGAGAAGACAAATTCGGCTGGGAGTGGTGTTAGGTGCTTGCTATAAGCACTTGCACCAACAGCCTGGTAGAGGCTATACGGCGGTGTGCCTGGGGGTGTATGGCAGTATGGGTGTCAGTGTCTATGGGTGCGTATGGGTGTGTGGAAATGTGTAGGGGTGTGTGTAGTGGCATGGGTGTGTGTTGCAATTTTTTGGGAGCGGTGGTGCAGCGGTTAGCGCGCTGCGCTACGAACCTAGCGACCCGGGTTCAATTCTCTCAGCCTAAAAAGAGCACCTGGTGCGATGTGTAAACATCGCCTTTGTCTCCCTAGTGGCGGTGTGTAAACATCGCCACTAGGGAGACAAAGGCGACCGGGCGTGGTGTTGGCCACCCCAACCCCTCGTGTGCCATGCCGGCCTTCATAGGTGCTCGCTAACATAACTTGCCCCGACAGTCTGTTAAGGGGCCGTCCATAAATGACGTCACGCACCTGGGGGGGGGGGGTCAGATATTTGTGACGATGTGTGACGAAGGGGGGGGGGGTTGAGAAATGTGACGTCATATCAAAATGCGCAACTTTAAATAAATATAGACAACACGTTCTACTTAATTACAACATGAGAGTGGAGCGGCACATTAAATACGCACTACAATGACAATAGTTTAAAGGGATTTGAAACATTTTTTTTGGGGGGGGGGCAGAGCTTTATGACGTCATATTTGAGGGGGTCTGAATTTTTGTGACGCCGTGTGACGAGGGGGAGGGGGTAAAAAATCGTCCAAAATTGAAAGACGTCATTTATGGACGGCCCCTTAGGCTATACAGGGGGTTCTTTGTCTCAGTGTGTACAGGTGTGTCTCAGTGTGTATGGGTGTGTCTCAGTGTGTATGGGTGTGTGTAGCAGTATGGGTGTGTGTAGCAGTATGGGTGTGTGTAGCAGTATGGGTGTGTGTGGCAGTGTGTACGGGTGTGTCTCAGTGTGTACAGGTGTGTCTCAGTGTGTATGGGTGTGTGTAGCAGTATGGGTGTGTGTGGCAGTGTGTACAGGTGTGTCTCGGTGTGTACAGGTGTGTCTCAGTGTGTACGGGTGTGTCTCAGTGTGTATGGGTGTGTGTAGCAGTATGGGTGTGTGTAGCAGTATGGGTGTGTGTGGCAGTGTGGCTGTGTGTGGCAGTGTGTACAGGTGTGTCTCGGTATGTACAGGTGTGTCTCGGTGTGTACAGGTGTGTCTCGGTGTGTACAGGTGTATCTCAGTGTGTATGGGTGTGTGTAGCAGTATGGGTGTGTGTAGAAGTATGGGTGTGGTAGTGTGGACGGCAAAACAACCCCCTACCTCCTCGCGGTGCCGGACGGGCAACTCTGTCGTGGACAGCGCTGTGGGGGGAGATCCAATTTTGATTGGCTCCTCCCCTCATGGCATATGTGTCCACCACAGGGGCTAAACGGGGGCTCTGGACGGGTGCGAGGGGCTGGTAACCCCTCCACCTTCAATTAATTACCACGAAACTACGAATTAAACTGAAATATGTAACAACTAAGCTTGTGCCGGAGGCCCCGGGGGGCCAGGCGTCTATGACGTCTCCTGGCCAAACCCCAATTGGCGGAGCCAGGAGATTGAATACCTACCCTCGGGGCTACTCCAGAAACAACGAAAATCCACTACGGGTGGCCACGTGGAATGTTCGAACGCTCACTGCAGAGGAGAGGCTGCCACTCCTCTGTCGGGAGCTGGACCGGTACCGCCTGGATCTATGCGGCATTCAGGAGGTCCGGTGGACCGGCTCTGGCTCCTGCCACCATGAGGGGTGGACAGTCCTCTACTCGGGGCAGCAGACTGCCAAACAACAGGGTGTGGGTCTTCTTTTGAACAAAAGAATGAAGGGGCGTGGGAGCGTGGCGGTGAGGTGTGGGAAGCTGTAAGCCCCAGGCTACTTTGGGCTCGCCTTCCCATCAACCGGAGGCGAGGAATGGTGGTCGTGGTTACTTATGCCCCCACCGAAGATGAACATCCGTGGAGGGATGCAGGCAAAGCCGATGAGTCAGATGCCTTCTATGACCTCCTGTCACAGGTGCTGGCTAAAGTGGCCCCTCGGGATAGAGTCATCATGTTGGGTGACTTCAATGCCCGAGTTGGTCATGATACTGGCACCTGGTCTGGAGTGATTGGAGGGCATGGGCCAGATCAGCTCAATAACAACGGTAGGAGGCTGCTAGATTTTTGTGCAGCCCATGGGCTTGTAATTACCAACACGCTGTTCCGGCATCGGCGCATCCACACAACATCATGGATGCATGCCGGGTCCAAGCAAGAACATCTGCTGGACTACATAGTGACGGACCAGCGAATGCGAGCCCATGTCCTTGACACCAGGACCTACCGTGGAGCTGATCTGCCCTCTGACCATCGACTAGTCATCTGTAAGATGCGCCTGCCATTCTTCCACTCCGGTGGTGGGTGTACACCCAGGACCCCATTCCAACCTAAAGTGGCCTGGTCTCAGTTATCTGATGAAAGTTGCAAGCGAGAATTTCATCATCGCTTGCGGCTGGGATTGGCATCGTCCCCGACTCCTCCTGATGTCGAGGGTAAATGGGCGAGGTTTAGGACTGTGACTCATGCAGCTGCAATGGCTGCTCTGGGTACGCGGTCCAGACCTCCCCAGACACCCTGGATGACAGAGGAGTTGTTCAGGATGGTTGAGAAAAAGCGACAGGCCCACTGTCATCGGCTACAGAATCCCACGTCAGAGAATGAGGAGGCTTACTGCAGCCGTCGCTCGGAGGTTCGGAGAGCCGTGAGGCGCTGCAAGGATGGGTGGTGGTCGCGGGTTGCTGAGGAGATGGAGTCTGCCTCAGTGGCCCGTGATCACAAAGCTCTATTTAACTCCATCAAAAAAGTAACCTGCAGCGCCACACCTATTACCATCATTAGGGGAAAAAACGGTGATCCAATTTCCGACCCCCAGGAACAGGTTCGCAGATTTGCTGAACATTTCTTTGAGGTCCTGGGGGAGGGAAAATCCCTCAGCCAGGAAAACATCGTGGCACAAAGTGAGGATGACTCTGCTGAGGCTACGGTGCCTCAAATATTGGATGAAGTCACCCCCTGTGAGTGGCTGGCTGAGGTGCCATCTGCTGAGGAAGTATTGAAGGCGATCCGGAGTCTGAGACCAGGAAAGGCAGCGGGCAGAGATGATCTCCCAAGCGAAATGCTGAGGGAGGGTGGCGTTTGTGCACAGACTGCCCTATATGACATCATAACAACAGTCTGGACCACTGGACGGGTTCCGCAGGATTGGAAGGATGCCCTGGTGGTCCCCCTTTTTAAGAAGGGGGACCGCACAGACTGTAACAACTACAGGGGCATCTCACTCCTCAGTGTGCCGGCAAAGGTCCTGGCAAGGATTATTCAGCATCGCCTTGCCAGGCACGCTGAGGAGAGGCTTGCGGAGCCCCAATGCGGTTTCAGGAAAGGGCGGTCCTGCACAGATGCCATATTTTCTGTCCGTCTGCTAAAGCAGAGGTGTAGGGAATTCCAACAAGACCTACATCTCTGCTTTATTGACCTGGTCAAGGCCTATGATACCATCAGTAGGCCTGGGCTCTGGGTCATTCTTCGTGCTTTTGGAGTACCTGACCCTCTGCTCACGATCATTAAGGACCTTCATGATGGTGAGCGGGCCCGGGTAAAACTACGTGGCCGGGAGTCAGAGCCATTCCCTGTACACCTTGGGGTGCGACAGGGATGTCCTTTGGCTCCCACATTTTTTAACATCTATTTTGACCACGTAGTTCGTGAAGCCTTCAATAGCTGTACCGGGGGAATCTCCATATGGTACAGATATAATGGGAGGCTAATCGATGCCCGGGTGCGGTCAAGGGATGGCTCCCTATTGCTCAACCACGTTATGTATGCTGATGATTTGGTAAT